CTTAATGTTCCATATGCATCTTGAAACTTCTTTAATAATGTTGCTAACAGTTGATACACCAACGCGATAGGTGTAATGAAGATCTTTAAATGAACACGCGGATGCTGCATACCTGAAAATAAAACTGATTTTTTAATACTTGTTTTAGGAAGACTTGTTATGAAAAAGTGGAGACAGATGAGAGATGCCTGGGTGAGATCACTAAAAGATAAAAGAATTGCAAGACGTCTGGTTCCGCTGTCTCAAACACGAAGCCTTACAAAACCAAATAATCAGATGTGTTTTTGAAAAAAGTAGTTGCTGCTGGTGAAACGCACGAAAGCGTCTCTGCTAAACAAACTGAAGAACACACCGAAGATGACGCCACGACATCGAATGAACCTACAAACGAAGATAACAGTGTGACTACAATGACACAACTTGACAATGACAGTCAAAAGGACAAACAAAATCTAGTCCCCCGCAAAAGCAGAGAATGCCAAAATTTTTTGGATGCCATTGACTATCAGATAAAACCGAAGAAAATTGAGTAGGATGATTGCAATTTATCGTTCTTCAAAGGTATTTTGCCGTCCTTGGCTTTGTTTGATGATGACCAAACTTTGGAATTCCAGTCAGGGTGATAAACCTATTACAAAATATTAAACTTAGGAGAGTTGGCCAGTCAACTAATGACTGGTCAGCCTATACCTCTGGTGCTAGTCACTATCAATCTCAGGGCTATTTTAGCAGACCACAGCCTACTGACAGTGCACTATCGCCAGTACAATCTGTATACAGTGATGCTACGTTAGACCTTTCTGAGTTTTAAAAATAAAGTACGTACCTTAAAAATATCGCTAGTTTTTCTTCTGGGCAGATACTTTTCCTCCAACGAGTATCTTGCTTTTTAAATCCTGTTACAATAGTTTAAGAAGTTCATCAAAAGTAGACATTGGCATACGAAAGTAATTGGAAAATTTCGATTCATCACCTCGTAACTGACTCATAAGTCCCTCTCTAGATCTTTGGGCGATACATGGATGCTGCCAATAACGTCGAATCTGCCTTCTCCGACGATAGTACCAATACAACAGACACAGTCCATCCTTGTAGTAGCGGCGGTATACTGCGAGTTTTCTGTTCACAATCGCATCCAGTAATGACGGATCCGTTGAACGTTACGGCCCGTTCACACATGGGAGTCCTTTACGGTTTTTAACGGATACGTAAATGCTCTGTTCAGACATAGGCACCGTATAACGTTCAACGGATCCGTCATTACTGGATGCGATGTGTGAACAGAAAACTCGCAATATACCGCCGCTATTCTACAAGAATGGACGCTGTCGTGTTGTATTGGTACTATCGTCGAAGAAGGAAGATTCGACGTTATTGGCAGCATCCACTTATGGCCCAAAGATCTACAGAGTGGTTTACTTATGAGTCAGTTACGAGGTGATGAATCGACATTTTTCAATTACTTTCGTATGTCAATGTCTACTTTTGATGAACTCCTTAAACTATTGGAAAAGGATTTAAAAAAGCAAGATACTCGTTGGAGGAAAAGTATCTGCCCAGAAGAAAAACTAGCGATATTTTAATGTACGTACTTTTATTTTTAAAACTACGACAGATCTAACGTAGCATCACTGTATACAGATTGTACTGGCGATAGTGCACTATCAGTAGGCTGTGGTCTACTAAAATAGCCCTGAGATTGATAGTGACTAGCACCAGATGTTTGAGTTAAGTTGACTGGCCAACTCTCCTATGTTTAATATTTTGTAATAGGTTTATCATCCCTGACTGGAGTTCCAAAGTTTGGTCATCATCAAGCAAAGCCAAGGACGGCAAAATACCTTTGAAGAACGATAAATTGCGATCATTCTGCTCAATTTTCTCCGGTTTTATCTGATAGTCATTTTGGCATCCAAAAAATTTCTTTTGGCTGGTGCTCTGCGTTTTGGCGGGGGGGGGGGGCAGATTTGTTTGTCCTTTTGACTGTCATTGTCAAGTTGTGTCATTGTAGTCACACTGTCATCTTCGTTTGTAGGTTCATTCGATGTCGTGGTGTCATCTTCGGTGTGTTCTTCAGTTTGTTTAGCAGAGACGCTTTCGTGCGTTTCACCAGCAGCAACTACTTTTTTCAAAAACAGCATCTGATTATTTAGTATTTGTAGGGATTCGTGTTTGAGACAGCGAAACCAGACGTCTTGCAATTCTTTTTATCTTTTAGTGATCTCACCCAGGCATCTCTCATCTGTCTCCACTTTTTCATAACAAGTTTTCCTAAAACAAGTAATAAAATAATCAATTTTATTTTCAGGTATGCAGCATCCGGGTGTTCATTTAAAGATCTTCATTACACCTATCGCGTTGGTGTATCGACTGTTAGCAACATTATTAAAGAAGTTTCAAGATGCATATGGAACAATTTAAGTGAAAAATGTATGCGACTTCCTACATCAGTCGACGAATGGGAACAGATAGCAAGTGGATTTAACAAAAAAGCTAATTTTCCCCACTGTCTCGGAGCTGTCGACGGAAAACATATCCGACTTAAAAAACCACTAAATAGCGGTTCACTGTATATCAATTACAAGGATTTTTTTCCATCATATTATTAGCGATCGTAGACTCCGACTATCGCTCTGTATACGTCATTGTCGGATCTTATGGACAAGAATGCGATTCATCAATATTCAAGGAGCCAAACAATTTTGGAAAATGATGCTAGGACGGCAGTCTTCAAATTACCTGCACCATGCCCATTAACAAGAGACTCAGAAAACGAGAGTTCCTTATGTGGTCATTGGAGACAAAGGTTCGGATTACACGAAAATTTACTAATGCGTTTGGCGGGACGCATCTGGACAAAAATAGCGAATATTCAACTATCGTTTGACTAGAGCTAGGAGATACGTGAATGTGCCTTCGGTATCTTAGTTAACACGTTCACTGCCCATGCCGACACTGTGTCGGCGTGGGCCTTATCATAGCAGTGGCCCGCGCGACACGCTGTCGGCGACGAGGTAACTCTATTAAATGCTACGTAGCTGGGTGGGTACTGCAGTTGAGCTTGTTTACGAAGGGGCACGCTGTAAGGTTATGAAAAGTATCTCTCATCTGTGGTCGGGTGTTTGCATGTTGTGTATGTAGTTTACTGGCTGTGTTGAAAGAAATGGCGGATAATCCTATTCCAGGGCCGTCTAGACCAAACGGCCAACGATTAGGGATCCAAAGAGACTAACAGAGGATGAAATGTTGAGTTTGATGTTCTACTCTGACTCTGAGGAAGAACCTTACCAAGAATCAGACAGTGACTGGAGCGGAGCTGAAGATGCAGAGCGAGCCATTGCTGAAAATGATGATCAGCCTGGGCAAGTAGTTAGTGATTTGGAAGAGGGTGATCCGGAACAAATGGAGGAAGAAGTGCCGTTAGAAACAATTGTGAACTGGTTAGAAAATCCTCCTAACCTCAAAAAAATTCCATTTACTGGGCGCCAAGAACTGAAGGTTGGAATACCAGGTGAGGGCAAGCCCATTGACTTTTCAAGCTCCTGGCAGACGACGAGTTTTTTGATTTGCTGATTAGCCAAACAAATGATTATGCTGAACTAGTATTCCTAAATGATCGAAACCCTGGACCACATTCACGAATAAGTCGCTGGAAACCGGTGGATAAGCAAGAAATTTCAAGATTTCTGGGGCTCTTATTCCTTATGGGGATTATTCAGGTACCAAGGCTTAGAGACTATTGGAGAACAGATCGTTCTATAATTTAGCATTCCGAAATTATATGAGCAGAAATAGATTCTTAGTTGTTTTACGATGTTTGCATTTTGCCCACAATCCACAAGAAGGAGAGCCACGGCCTGCTGATAGATTACATAAAGTACGAACTTTAGTAGATTTCTTCAACCATAAGATGTTTGCCATTTATAGTCCACAAAAGAACTTGTCAATAGACGAATCTATGCTTTTGTGGCGCGGGCGACTTTTATTTCGCCAATATATCAAAAACAAAAAACACAAATACGGAGTGAAATTTTACTTACTTACTGAGAGCAATGGGACCATAATGAAACTACAAATATACACTGGAGCAGCTGACGATATGGGTGGAAAAGGACATGCTGCCAATGTTGTTCTTCACCTTGCAAGTGATTATTTGGATAAAGGTTATAGTATATACATGGACAATTATTATAACTCAGTACGCCTTGCTAGACAGCTGCTCAATAGGATGACGTATTGTACAGGAACTTTACGGGCTGGAAGGAAAGAGACCCCTGGTGACGTATCAAAAGCCAAATTGAAGGTTGGTGAATCAGTCCCACGATATGGCGGACATGTTTGCGTGGGGAAGTGGAAGGATAAAAGGGACGTTCTGTACATCACAACCGAACATGAAAATACTCTCCAAGAAGTGACTTCTACCTCTGGCAATACTAAAATGAAACCTGCACCTATAGCGGAATATAATAAGTACATGTCCGGTATTGATCTGCAAGATCAAATTATGGCATACTATCCATCACACCGGAAGACCATTAGATGGTATAAAAAAGTAGGCCTTCACATAATAGAAATGATGTTGTACAATTCCTTTATGTTGTACAATAAATTCTCCTCACCCAAATTGTCGTACTTGGATTATCGCCACTCCGTTATTGAGTCATTGTTGCCAGATCCAACTACTAGTACTACAGCGAAACCTACAAGTGATGACCTTCATCTTCCTAGTAAATGTGAGGTAGCTGAAAGCGGAAGAAAACTTCGCAAACGTTGTCGGTGGTGCTCACAACAAGGTATTAGGAAAGACTCACAATACTACTGTGCTAAGTGTCCGGAGACACCAGGACTGTGTCTCGAATTATGTTGTGAAAGTTTTCACAAAAATATTGCGAAATAATTAGTATTTTGTTCGTCATCTCACTTCATATATTATAGAGTTTCGTTTCTGTTCATTATCTTATTTTCTCGAATATTGTAAGCATTTTTTTATTTTCTCTACAGTGTCTATGCTGTCATATATTGTTTTCTTTTCTAAAGATGCTATTATATTAATTATATGCAATGTTTGTTTTACTTTGCATGTGCAATAAATGCATATATCACAAAATGTGATTTTATTATTTCCCGCCGACAATGGTGCGTCACTGGGCACTGAGCAGTAATGTTGCTGTTCAGTGCCCATGCCGCAACATATGCGGCGGTTTATTTTTTTGCATAAAAAACTGGAGTATGTGGTGAAAAACATTATTTTACCTAGTTTTTATAACACTTGACACTAATGATCTACAATTCTCCGACTGGTACTGGTGAGTCAGATACCCAAATGCTTGGGCAGTGAACGTGTTAATAAGTGGAGAATATTCCATCGGCCTCTAGACATCGATAAAACAACAGCTGTATGGACTGTTAAGGCATGCACTATTACTACTACACAACTTTATAAGGGACAAAGAGGGCTCAAACAGTGATATTAACGTATCTCAAGAATTTAGTTACGAAAACTTACCCCATGAAGTAAGAACACGAGGTGGTAATACTGCCAATTTAGTTCGAACAGAATTAGTGAACTATTTCATGTCCGAAGCTGGATCAGTTCCATGACAGGATGAAGCTATTTAGAATGTAATTAAATAATAAAACAGACACTTACCGAACTCTTGTCTTTGTTCCATAGCCTCAAAATCCTCCATTAGAATAGCGCATATTACGCGCCAACCTGCAATACTTGCAGAATTGTCTTTGTATTTATCCAGCGTCTTGTTCCAAAGGACTGGCCTATCTTCCACCAAAGTAATTAAAATTTCCTTGTCTATTATCTTTTCCCACCCCTTGGTTGACATGGTTGATCAGTGATTATAATAATTATTACACACAATGCACGCGCGCGTTCTCTATGAATGTACAATAGAAAATGCGACTCAAAACCTGTCGTATCACTCCCCCTACTACACCCCGCACACACCGCCCTCCACGCACACAGTATCTATCCGTTAAAATTCTACGTATCCGTATATTTTTACTGTTCCGTCGTCCAGTATTCGATGACAAAACGGAATGTCATATTTTAACGGAACAGTATTTTTTTACTGTATACAGTATACTGTACCATGTGTGAAGTCGCTCATACAACTATATACGCCACCGACGAAAAAAAACGTGTCCGATAAAACGGACCAGTAAAACGGAGAGCATGTGTGAACGGGCCGTTAGTTGACGAAATCGTACAGGTCTCCGTACTCTAGGCATCGTAACCGATCGTAAAGGATGTCAAGAACCAAAATCCGCCAACGTTGATTCTTTACTGCGGCTGAAATATTAATTTTTAGAGCGTTAAAGAATTAAAAAAAGCAGTATAAAAACCGGAATGTCCAACTGATAAGGCTGAACATTTTTTCACTTGTTATTTACAGTAAGATAAATACATTCACCAACTTTTACTAAAATAAAACCATTTAAACTGGGTGTTCGGATTTATATGTCACTTAGTATATATTCCACAGGTGGAATACATTAACTAATTATGAAGCTTCGTACGCTTAGGTAATTAGGTACATTTTGGTGTTGTGGGGTGTGGTTGGAAATTTAAGGAGTTGAATACAAATGTGACTTTCAAAAAGACTTAAATTATATACCTTCTAGATGAAACTGCAATGCGGTAACGGTCACGATTACTGGACAAACTGAGCTAGAAGATTACAAACAGGTGTGACACTCGGACGCTCTACTGAACATAAAAGTTTAGGATAATGTAGAAATAATCATTTATTCAACATTGTTGCTTGGAGATTTCCGACAATGGCAACAAACGGAAACATTATTATGTACGTCGGAAGTATCGATTGACCTCTAGATACTACACGGATTAAATTGATGAGTTGATTTGAGATTTTCTGGGATAATGGTCAGATATGACCTCATTAGTTTCTGAAATGCGCATTGATCAATGAATAATTAATGTACTTGTATGCGAGGGCAAAACTTAAAGATCGATGTACGCTACTGTTATAAAGTATTTGTTTCACCTCTAACACGAGAAATTACCATTATTGACTACATCTACAATATGCTTTTTTACACAGAAGCAGCCGCGCAGGCAGAAGCCTAAATGTCAGGGTACCGCGACTATTATGATGAGCTTAAATAAACTTTGTTAATCCGATTTTTGAACCTCCTAAGACTAGAACTGGGAAAAGCCTCCTCATGTGGGATGTTCCACAATCTCGATACCCTAGGGACAAAGGAGCGGTCGTATCGGCCAGTTCTGGATGTATGAAGTTCGACACGGTTAGGATTCCCATCCGATGTGACAAGGGTCTGGCTGGCAGGCACATCGTGAGGCGGCATCATGAAGGAGAGCTCTGAAAAGCAAAGCGCATTGACGTAGCAGTAGAAGAGAGCTATATCGCCGACAGCCCGCCGGTGCGAAATGGTGCAGGGACTGTGCGTCGACCAGTAGCACAGCTCTCATTGAACAGCATCGAGCATGGATAATGTAGTTGACGGCGGCAGCACCCCAAGCATGTGAGCAACACTCAAGGTTAGGTATTATCTGGGCCTTGCATAAAGTGAGGAGGTCGTGTGGAGAAAAGTACTTCTTAACCCTAAACAAATAGCCTAGCTTTTTCCCAGCAGTTGCCGTTATTCACGAGATGTGTTCATGCCAGATCATGTCCTCGGTGATCTGAACTCCGACCAGCCGAAATGATCGGCTCGTTGGTAGAAGTCAGCCATCCATCGAAACCGGATGAGCGCTATGATGCTTTTTGTTGGTACTGTGTTTTGGAAGCATCGAACTGCATCCCCAAGATGTGGTAACCCCCACATCTCTCGTCAGAAAGAAAGTCGTTACCAATCTTCTTTTTTCCAACTCATCGGCAGAGACTGGCTTGTCACTTTGGATTCCTGCATGTAGAGTACTGTGAAATGGATTGACC